GCTTAATCAGACGATACTATCACTTCCATAAGTATAATATAGCACGATGTCTATAGAATATTCTGTCTTGTCTAGTCGGCTTAGCTTAATAATAGCATGGTACTAACTAACTTCGCTAAAAGTAATTTGCTCCGATATCCGACTAGTCTTATACTTCGTCGTTCGGTGGCTGAATGGCTGAATGAAGTTCTGTGTGAGTGAGTGAGTGCAAGGCTGAGTTACGTGTAGATTTATATATATATATATATATATATACATACATTGGTAAATGTATTCCAGCCTAACTTGTTGTGACTTAAAAGTACTGGGTCTCTGACGCCACACCGATAACTTTAACAAAGCCTGTTTTTTCCTTTCAATGGTAAAGAGCAGTGATGTTTTGGTAGTTTCGAAACCAGACGTCCACCCATAATGGGTCGCAAACCGCTGGCCTTCATATCTTCGAGTCTATTTCTGTATGGTTTGTTTCACAGGTTCCTCGACCTGAATCAACTCGATTATTTCAATGGCCGCAAAAAATCATCTCCTTGAAGAGAGGTAAATAATGCACATTAAATTTACGCAATAGCATCATAAGAATTACATCACGTATTTGGATACATACTTGTTTAGCATGATGCTGATTTTGTAGAAGTTGTCCTCGTTTTAAGGCTAAACGAAACGCCGGGCATTTTCCCGCATTCAGGCCAGGATACCAGATGTTGTGGTTTCGTTCATAAGGGGTTCAACTAGCAGAGTTTACCATACGAGTTTTTACGTGGCGGACGACGGATGCTCATTCTGACTACTAGGTGAAATTTTTCTAACGAGAAAACTTATCACATGAACGTACATTCGATACTTCCTGTAAGAATTTCCATCGAGAAAATAGCCTGAATAGGAGCAAACGCCTGACTTGGAAGCCGACTGCTGTAATTTCTTGTAAGTACTATCAGTACCGTTATCATTACCCTTTTCCGTAATAATATTCTCATTATCACCATTTTGACGTGTGTGTGTGTGTATATATATGTATATATATTGAAACGAGTTGAAAGTTCCCTTCTGTTTACTGTATAGGCTGAGAGGATGCAGGCCCGAAGTGTTTTCCATACTGCTAACTTCGGGAAAATGCTATTTTTAGAGAAGTCGTTAACGTAACTATAATCTTTGCTACTCTCTCCTTCCTCAATGACAGTTCTATCTAGTCACGGTAGTAAAGCACAGTTATTATTATTATTCATATTAACGCCGCGTCCGTTGTTTCGTACTTACATAGATCTACCTGTATATACTTGCAATGAATGAATGAAATATGCCATAAGATCTTTCACATATTTACATCAACATTAGATATTAAACATCGCAGAAATGATGCAGCTCTTGAAAGTTCAATAGAATTGTAATAATTATCTATAAATTTTTTTTATGTACACTCCGGGGCTGTATGAAACGCGTACAGATGAAAGAAATTTTGCACCGGTAAACGGCAACGACATCAAATACGTCTTACTAAACTTTCACTGCACACTGTAGCAACTGGACATTTCTATTCGACGAGAAAGAATTGCGTGTGAGATCAAAGTATGGCAATTGAATTACTCCAGATTGCGACCTCAGGAACGTAGACTCATGAAACCGATATCGGTACCATGAGTCGTCTTCAAATCTACCCTATGCCAGGTAAGTAGACATCGACGCAGATAACTTCAAACGGCTGCCGTTGGGATTAATTATTATGTTCATTAGGACTTGCTGTATAGATACATCATTAGTTTCATGTCAGTTTGCCGAGTTGAGGTGAAAATACGAACGAACGAACGAACGAACGAACGAACGAACGAACGGCAAGAGGTGAGGCACCTCCGACAGCTGTTTTGGTGGGGTTGCTTTTCACCTTACACTGTCCCGCTTTTGCAAAACAATGGAGGGCAAAGCGACATTGACTTTTTTTCTGAGAACAAAACTCTGTCTCTGTAAGCTGATCGGCAAAAATAAGTCTATCCATTTAACTGGCTAAAGCAGACTTGGTCTATTTACACTGGACAGCTGTCGGAGTGAGCTGACATTCACTGTTGGAACAGTCTGTTTAGATGTTATGGTTAATTATGATCCGAGAGTAAAACGAAAGTAAGTAGCTTTCAACTATATATATATATACTCGTATATATGAAATTGGTCAGCAAAATGACGACGTAGATCTGGAAGCAAACGAGATGTTTGTGGTCCGCGTTTGGCCAAACATGGCCGATGCGCGTATTCACTATGCGAATGCGGGTTGATAGTGATCATATTTTTTCGTCTGCGTCACGTTGACGGTCAGTTGTTGCAACTGCCGTACCATATAGCGGTATAGGGATGAAGCAACATATTGCAAACAGCATCGATGGTGCCCGCTGCGAAATTCAATTGAAACGTGGCTAGTGCCTCCAGCGGCTGAAGTACGATCGCAGCATTCGTAGTGTAACATATGGGTTTCACGTGGATCTTGTGTATTCGTTTACCTCCGACGTAACGTCGGTCATAATGCGAATCTATGATAGCATATTTCTCACATTATATGTTGGTATAATACTATCTAATGTAGCACTTTCTACACTCCCTATGATGTTGGTCGGGAAGTTGAAAACCGATAGGTTTTGGGTAAGGGACAAAAGTTTGCTATACGCAAGCGAACACTTGCCATGGCACAATAGGATCATAGAAAAATGTTCGGAATGTGAGCTATGCTGAGAGACAAGTAAGTCTATACAATTTTTTTAGCCTTCGCTCGATACGGTAACTATTCAGTTCAAATATACACCGCGGAGCAAACGATTTAAATAGAAAAATTTCACACTTTTCGAAATAATGCCTAGGTCACCTAAAATATTATAGGCAAATACATAAAAATTGTAACGGATGCAGGACGGCGTGAATCACAGTCAACGCCATTTGGGTTTCACTTCCCTAATTGCTAGCACTCGACCAAATAGTTAGATCTCTTGCTATCCCAGTGAAGATGCTGTGCCATCTAAAGTAATAGAACACTTAGAGCGGACGCGGATTCGCAACATATTAGTTTCTGGGTTGAATTTTTGGGTTGAGTTTACGACTAACTCATGTCGTAGGGTACAGCCGCCTATCATCTAGCAAACACCATAATCGACTATCAAATGCTCTTGTTTTAAGCGAAAATTTGCATTATGCGTGCCCACAGACTCGATATCCCGAAACCAGCAGGTCGACCTTAATTCAGTATCGGATACTGTATTAAACTAAAGACTACGGCAGTCCACTGTAGATCCAGTCGATCTTCCAACCTCTCATGTCACGTGATTCAGAAGCAATCTGCGTAATGCGCCACCATATAAAACTTGTATAGCTACAATGCGTGTTTGGAGTTTGCTATGATAAGTAGCTACGGGTACTCAAGGTAACAAAGCACTCATCAAAGCTCAATCAATCTTTCTCCAATTCTATCATAAAACTATACATAGATTACATTGCCAGTTTCCGCAAGATTGTCCGAAAGTAGTAGTATAACTGTACGAGAGTGCAACTATTTATACTCATCAAAAGGAGCTCATCTCCTAGATTCGGACCTATCCTAGCCTAGAGTAGCCGTATATCTCCATGAACATATATATAGGTTTCTTTTTGTGAAGAAGGGGGTTTACATAGGCAACGCGGTCTCTACAGTCTAGCATGCGGTACAGCAAGCCTCTCTTGCTGTTTGCTCAATAACAAACAGCGTTCCGGTCGCTGTCACCAACATCATAGAATATCACCGTGCAGATATTAATTCGTTTGTTTGTTAAGCAGGCCGCTGATGGTGGGTGACGAATAAAATTAAGTGCAGTAAGAGCTCGCTATCGACCTTGCGTGTCGCTTTATGATTACTCTTGATCCGACGTCTCCTTTTGACTCTTTTTCTTTTCTTTCTTTCTTTTTTTTTTTTTTTTTATTGTTTTTTTCATCAACGCATTTTCTTTTAGCACACACAGGTCTTTCGGACCCGCGTTAGCCTACCTATATTAAATTACTTCCGCGGAAAAACGTAGCGTACCCAGAAATATGAATTTAATCTGTATGGTATGGGTGCTCTAGCCTAGCAACGTGATTTTACTGAGACTGATATGTCGCACGCGTGTGCGACAAGGCGATTGATGGTGAATAATAGTAGCAGTTATATAATGTTGGGGCACAAGTCTCGATCTGATTGAGGGTTGGAAAGCTGGGCGAACAGATAAGCGTTGACTTATACCAACTCAATGTAGTTATCTTAGAAGGTGATGAGTAGTCTGCCGGTCGGCGAGTAACCGGCAATCTCATATGGATCGTCGAGGGCTGCCAGGCACGGATCTGAAAGACCTACCCGTGCAATAACTTGTATGATGGGTGTTTCATCTTCATGCTTCTACATCGTATAAATACAGGTTACGACCTGCATTTCTAACATCTGCTTATGATGCCTACATAGTTTCTTTGTGCACGTTCGTCTGTGTATGTCTGTATGTTGCGCGCCGAAAGCTGAATACGACAGGCTCGAACGGGATTCTGTGGTTAATTAGAGACGAAGTCTTTCTCTAGTAATAGGTAGTGCACACATTGCTCAAGGTATCGAAGGTACACATATATGAAGTCAAGTCCGCTCGACTTCTCGATTACGTTGCTTTGGGATCCATTCGGAAAGGATCGGTAGCTTGCTTGAATTGCTTTAAAGGTCAAGTCTTTCTTCATAACTGCTCGAAATGAAAATAGCTTCCCATTATTATTTGGCCTGTCTTCCTTTTTAGTGCCTCGCGTACATCCATAATAGGGGTTGGAGGTCTTTGTGCATTTCCTATTCATCCACAATTGACCTACTGCATCCGACTGTATAGTGAGTGTTAAGGGCAAGCCGGTATATACTATTAAGATACTAAGGTTAGATTAACTGTGCTTTATGCTAGAGAAAGAAAAGAGGCAGAAGAGCGTACTTGCAGTATCAATGCGAAGTTATCGTAATTGCGTTCTGTTCTAAATCATATTCATAAAGGTAGCAGGTTATAATTAATCTTTTTAGCTAGAGTTCTTTAGTACTAGTATCCTGTGTCATTTAGGTTGTTGTGCGGAGAGCCAGTTGACCGTCCCATATTATCAGGTGGCCCAAGCTTCATCCCTGCCTGATCAGGCTGTATTGGGCCGTACGCCAGGGGATTATGACCAGTTGCGGCCGAATTTCCGAGACCGTGCGCTGCCAGCCTTCTCGCCAGCATTTCATCCGTGTCTTCGATAACTTCATGACCTAACGGTGCTACTCCGCTGCGAGAACTGGGATTCTGTTTAGGGCGACGGTAGCATCAGTAGAAGATGGCAGCGAACAACCGAAGGAAAAAGTTCAAATTAAAATCGGTCTATGCACCCTTAATATGAGGCTGTCTTATTTACTGTTAATATTGTGCTGGAGCAAACAGAAAAAAAAAGTAAGCCACACTAGCATCTCATACGCAACCTTCGCGAAAGGTCTACTTTTGAAAATCACTTCATAATAACACGAAATATGAATGTTCAAGTCCAACACCGATTAGGTACTCTGCAAATACAAAATTAAAAACAAATAGAAAAATTTCGGCTCGGATATTTTTAGTTATAAGTATACACAGTTAACAACAAGATGCTTGATGTAGTAATACTCGTACCAGCTACAGAGAAAAGACGCTAGCGGATCGTCTAACGATATTGTATGAACAGGTTTATGATAAGCTAGGTACGTACGATGTTGGTGGGGGGCTGGTGTATCTGACCCTGGGACTGTAGCTGCTGCACGCTTTGGCTCTGATGCCCCTGTTGTATGGGATGTCTGCCAACGTTTGGAACTAGCGGAACCATATTGCTCTGATTAGACTGCATTTGATAAGAAGATATGCTTCGCTGATAGCTGAATACTTGACGTTCCAGGGTATAATTCTCTGATTGTAGAGCGGCAACCTCCCGCCTAAAACAGAAAACGAAAAAGGGAAGCTTCATAATAAACTTTCTCTAACAGCGAAAACAAACAATATAGTATACGTTGAGTATAGTCATCAGCTTCTCCCAAGTTTGGTTAAGTTTACAGAATAAATATATACATAAATAATAACTTTCGTAATTAAGTGCAAATAATTGAAGAGCGAGACGCTAGCACGGTGACCCAGGGTAGAAAATGACTTTATGTGCAAATGAGGAAGTAATAAATCACAAAAATATTTACTAGATTTCACCGATCCAATGATGGTGACGACTAACTATACAGATTTCCATAAAACGTTACCACGTAAACGTTCCTAAGGCTATTTGGTTTTAGCTTTTTTTGTCAGTAAAATCTGTCGGTTAGTCACAAGTTTTAAATAAATAGATTGTCCCTAATCGAATTATCTTTATCGAGCAAACGGACCATAGAATAGGTAGAGCCAGAATGAGGTTCGTCGAAGTCCTTGTTAACTATTTTGTGACAGTAGTAGGCTCTACAAACCTAATTCAGACATGTGAAGTGGGATATTTTATCACGTACCTGTGAACTTTTGTTCGTATTTTAAAGTAACTTACGGACAAACGGAAGTGGTTTGAATCGCATTAATTCAGACGTTGCTTGTCTTGCTCGACAGGATTGACCCGAATCAGACTCAATCCCAACGAGATCGTATCTTGAACTAAGCTAGAATAATTCTACGTCAGTTCATATCACACATACAGTTATTGTACTTTTTCGTTTCCATTAAAACAGTCATA